ATGACTAGAAATCACAGGGCCCCATGGCAAAATTGTGTATGGGGCCCTGTGATTTTTTAGTTACGCCCCTTGCAGAGCCCGCCTGAGAGTGACCCTGCCCACCTGAGACCCCACCATAGACTCTCTATGGTGGGCTCTGCAGGGTCTCAGGTGGCCTGGTCACAACCCTTGCACACCTCTTACCTGTCAGCCCGATCCACTACAGTGTAGGAGGCCGGGGCCCGGCAGCTGTGGAGGAGGAGGAAGAGGCCAGGCACAATGGCAGTGGAGGAGGAGGAGGCGGCCTGCAAATGTGGTGCCCCGCCGTGGTTTTTGCAGTCTCAGGCTCCTGTGGGGCACCTAGGACCACGGGAAACAGTGTCATGATGGAGAGCATCCGAACATCCATTCTGCTCTGTGCTCTCTGCTCTTCCTGTTTTAGAGTGTCAGAAGCCGGCTGAAGTGCCAGTTACACAAGCAGTTACACAAGCAATCAAGCACAATCCTGTGTTTAATCACCTGTATTGAAGGGCAGGAGAGACATCAGTAGTATAATAGACCCCTGATGTTTTGCTTGTTAGCCCCTATGTCAGTGGTGGCGAACCTTAGTACTCCAGCTGTGCCCAAACTACAAATCCCAACATGCATCTGCCTCAGGGAGTTATGTCTGTGGCTGTCAGAGCTTTGCAATGCCTCATGGGACTTGTAGTTCCAAAACAGCTGGAGTGCCAGGGTTCACCCCCACTGCCCTATGTTATAGCAATAAAGTTAAAGTGGAAAATACATTTTAAAAAAGTTTTTAAAAAATAACAAAATAATTTAAACTGAAACAAAATAAAACCAACCCGCTGCCCTCATCATCTGCATGTGAATGAACATGTGTGCATGAGGCATGCATATAACCGCAAATGTCGGAGTGAGAGCAATAATTCTAGGGCCATAATTCACTGTTAACTCTAAACTGATGAGCAGTATAGACTTTTATAGCGTTGCCTACGAACAATTTTGAGTACCATAATTTTTTGCCTTTGCAAGGGTACACGTAATTTTAACACTTGACATGTTTGGTATCTATTTACGTGATGTAACCCCATCTTTTATATTTTACCAAAAACTGTGTATTAACTTGTGTTTGTGTGTGCCCAAATTCATTTTAGTGGGGGGGTTTTTTCTACAAATATCAAATTGATCAACATTTGTGCAAATCTTGTGCAGCATAAAAAATGCAGCTATGTTTTTTTTTGTTCTACCGGACCTCTGCTCACAGAAAATATATAATTGTTTGGGGGTTTAAAATAATTTTCTATCCAAAAATTCAGATTTTAGTATGCGTGTGCAAAAATTACAAAATTGCTCCGGTACTAAGGTGGTTACATTTTAAATCAGCATATTATAAGTAGGTCCTATGGAAAAACATTGGTATTTCACAATAGAAACAAGAGAGAGCTGAGAGGCTGTTGGTATTTTCATTATAATCTATTGCTTGGAATTGTAGTCCTGCATAGTTGGTGGTATTCTGCTGCATTGCTGTATAATGATTATGCAACAATGCAGAATAGCACCAACTATGCAGGACTACAAATCCCAGCAATACATTATATTATTAAGTAGGGACACACCATTGCCAATACTGGCATTTTCACAAGTACTCTTAATTGTGAAAATGCCCCGATACTAAGCACAGATACCGGTGTTCTGTCGAGAACACCGACATAGTCGAAATTGCCGACTTCCGTACTATTATCGAGGAAACCGGAATTTATTGACAAAGTATTTAGTTTGGATCGTTAATTGTGACCGTTAATAATATGTCATCCATCATTTACTGCCATGGATGGCATATTATTAACGGTCACAATTAACGATTACACACTAACACTTTGTAAATAAATGCCGGTTTCCTCGTTAATTCCGTCTGTGCGTAAGTTCAGGTACTGGGTCAGCGTTCTCGACAGAACACCAGCACTAAATTTTTAAACTGAAGCAGCTGCTTGAGGTTCCGCGCTTGCTGGGGACCTCGGCAGCCTTCCGTTAACCACGCGGTGCCATGGCGATGGGGGGTCGGGGGGCCCTTCATAGTTTCTTGCATCGGGGGCCCTGAAGGTTCTAGTTACGCCACTGATAGTAGACATCTCTAAGCTGGTATAAGAAGACAAGAGAACCAGCTAAATGTTTGAATTGGGGTATTAAACATGTATGAAATGGGCTGGTTGCTTCACAGTCCGATGAACTGCATGTGGTGCATTACCATGTGTTGCTTTAAGGCAGCTTATTCATTTAAATGGGCTACCAATGGAACAACAGACCAGAAAACAGACTAATGTTTTTTTGCACCACAGCGCATGGTAGTGCATTACTGTGCGATGTGTTGCACTGCAACACAGGTGAATGCCACTGCAATGCACTAATGCGTGCAAGGTGCACTACCATGCATTTCAGCAATGCACATATTAACGCAATGCATAGATGTAAAGCCTAACCAATTTGAAGCACTGAAATCCTCTTGCTTATTCTCACCATGGCGAAAAGAAAGTAATCTTTACACCTTATAACCAGCAAGATGCTTCTTCAATTTTCAAAATGCACGAGTAATATAAAAGCTGTAGTCTGATTATTTGTTACATGCAGTGCATTCATTTTTCTTTTCTCCAGATTTTGGTAATAAGTCCCCTCATACGGATCTGTTTTCAGCACTATTTAATCTGGTTCATTTTGTGTTTGCTATAAGGAAATTTCTAGAGCATCACAATGTATGGTTTCTGTAAAGAATATAAAAATGTATTTCACACGATGTGATACATGAGAGATGACCAAACTTCGCCCCTCCAGCTATGGTGAAACAACAAATCCCATCATGCATCTGTCTCTGGAAGTCATGCCTGTGGCTGTCAGAGTCTTGCAATGTCTTACCGGATTTGTAGTTACACCACAGCTGGAGGGTCAGATTTTGGCTACCCATGCTCTACATCTTCATTCATTTTTCTTACCAACTTTTGGTAAACTTTTACCAAGGGATCAGTATCATCATCTTCATTCTAAATAGCAGCTAATCTTACAGTGTTCATGAGGGCCAAAGTTCCCTTGATAATGAAATAGGCACCAAATCAGGGAACAGGGAGTCTTAAAAGATCCAGGAACCAACTGTCCAATTGCAATGGTTGGCAGTGATTTGTTTTTAGGAAGCAATGTTCAGTGATTTTGGATTTATGGATTTTGCAATGTTTAGAGTGTTTTGGTATTTAATTACAGAACAGTGTTAAGAGGATGTTGTTAAAATGTTTTGGCAGGTGCTTTGACATCTCCCATCCGTGTGATCCAGGAGTGGACAACTCCAGAGTAAGATGAGATCTGGCTTGCTCACTTGCCTGCTGTTCTTGGAAGTGGCCTATGTGTCTGGACAAGGTTAGTATTGATATTACAACAAGCACTCTGAATCAGACACACATGTCAACAAGATGAAACTTTCCTCGTTAGCTGCAGATGTCTTCAATAAATCAAGAGTGAAAAATTTAAATTCCAGATTTCCTCACTGTCATCTAGGAAACATTATGGACAATTATGTTTTTCTTCTTATGCAGCTGTCAGCTAAATGTCAGAATGCTAACTTTCTTTCTCACCTGTTGACTGACTAAAAACACTTATGACAGCATAAATACACAAATTGTTTCCATCTGTTTTTAACTTCTAGCACTAGATTCAATTATTTTTATCTTACCGGTAAAATCCATCTCCTGAAGTACATAACAGCACACAGGGAGTTCATTCTCATACCACTGGGAGAGTCAACAATGTCCTGGCTCAGGTGGAAGGTACAATGGTCCTAGGGCTGAGAACCACTTTATCCTTGTGGACTAAAAGGGAGGATTCCTTGCAGGCTAATGCTGCCAGTTCAGAGACACGCCGTGCAGAGGTTATGGTGACAAGGAAGGGCACTTTCTAAGTGAGCATGGGCAGAGGGATATCCCTGAGTGGCTCAAAGCAGCTTCTGAAGAGCTGATAACACAGGGTTGAGGTCCCAGGGTGTCGCCAGAACACACACAGGAAGAACAATGTGAGTGACTCCCTGGACAAAGCCTTATATACAGGTGAAACTCGAATAATTCGAATATCGTGCAAAAGTAATTGCAGTAAGTGCTGCAAAAGGGGCCCAAACCTAACAGTGCTAAAGAGAAAAAGTCCAAAGAAATTCAGAAACAATCAATAATTTATTTTTCCCTTGTACTTGTAACTTGCAGTTTACACTACAGGGACGTACCTTTTAAACTAATTTATAATTTATCATTTCTGATTGATTCCATCCTGGCTGTATTTTAAACCACATGCATTTTGGAGCTATGGGATTCTCTTAACTCTAGAGCATCAAGTTATTTCTCTCCATATGTTTGGGTTTCAATACTCCTTTTCTTCACAAACCCAAAATAATTATAGACTTAAAGAAGAACTCCAGGATTGTTTTTTAAATTAACCCTTGCCGCATCAAAGATATACTCACTCAAAGCTCCGAGCCAGCCAGCTGTCACAACGCTCCCTCTAGCCTGTCTCCTTCTCCCTGCAGCATTGTAATCTTACTCAGTGTCCTTCCGTCTATGCGCTGGGAGGAATTTATCAAGACTGGAGCAGACAAAATCTGGAGCAGCTGTGCATGGCAACCAATCAGCTTCTCTCTTCAGTTTGTTAAGTTAAGAGTTGAAAATGAAAGAGAGAAGCTGATTGGTTGCCATGCACAGCTGCTCCAGATTTTGTATGCACCAGTTTTGATAAATTCTCCTCACTGTGTATAGATGTTGATGATTTACGGAACCTTAGACCATTGCAGGGAGGGGGAGAGACCTTGGAAAAGCCAGTGTAAGAAGAAGGCGGCTTGGAGCATCGGGTGAGTATATCTTTGTTCTTTAACTAGGACACAAATGAGCAGTTAACCCTTGCAGTGCCGGGATAGCCCTGCTGCAAGGGTTAATAAAAAAAAATGTCCTGGAGTTCTTCTTTAAAACAGTGGTGAGTTCTCCTAAACTGGCAGAGAAAGGCTAATTAAAAGGAAAAAAAAAACTAAAAAAAATTCCACACGTCATTACTGAATCTCTGATGAATTTATTAAATACTTATAATGGCAGCAAATACTAACTAAAAGCTTAACATAATCCTGTATAAAGAAATGTACTTGGTCTTCATTCACACTATGCGATTTGGCATTCCTGCAGCAGGAACCTATGGATTCCCGTGGTAGGAATCCCAAATATCCTGTTTAGATACAGCCGTTATAATCGTTCAAATTAACGACCTGGTGACAGTGGCCGCATCTGGAAGTGGCAGTCTGCATGTAATCATATGTGATATGATTACATGCAGTGTGCAATAGATCATTGTTGCTGGACGCAACTATCCTGAAATTTTTCATAATTTAAGGCAGGACAGCAAAGGTTTTACCTACTGTTACGTATTGTTTTGATTGTACAAACTCTTGACGTATGACTGTGCCAAATGTGAAATGTTCAAATTTTGCTTGAGGAGAAAGGCATGTGAAATGGTAAATCAATGAGACAATACCCAGGTTCAGGTTCAGAGGTAAACGCACATTTTTATTTGTCCATCCAGTGTTTATTACAAAATGGTGTTATTAATCACAGCAATAATGTACCCTACAGCCACAACTGAGCACCAAAGAGCAAGAAAGGAAGTTGGTCACATGCTTTAATATTTTGAGTGACTTCCTGATTTAGCTTTTCTCCATGGAACGCAGCTGTTGTGTGATTCCTGACACTGCCATTCATCTCTGGAATTCAGTACTGAGGGCATTATTATACTTAAAACCAAGTTCTCACCAAGTCTAACTATAGAAGGCTTGAGATCAAGTGGCCATGGGTATATTTTGGGAGCTTGGCATTCATTGCTGTCAAATAATAGATGAAGAATTGTCTTCCCCAGACACATGGTGGGGTGAGGGTCTTCTTCAAATAACATTTAGCAAAAAAAAAAGGCAAAGCGCTGTTTGTTCAAAACTAGTTCGCAGTAAGGCCACGATATCTTCTGCATATACAGTATAACTAAACTGCAACATTCTTTATTGTTTTAACACTTTTTTCTTTTGGAATTAGAAGGGTTCTCATTTGGGAAGTGTGTGACTGTGTAACTTTTTTCCTCTCTTAGTAACCAATCAGCTTTTCCTTGTTCTGCTGTCAGGTCAAGTTACATAGCATAAAGCAGATACTGATTGGCTGCTAGACTATTCTTTAGTAAACAATATGGATACAAACGTACACTGGTAGAAAATACTAAAAAAAATAATGTGAGTAATATATAACAATATATCATATGTAAATAAATCAAATAACCACAAAAGGTGTCCATATAGCAATCTATATAAAAAAGGAAAATCCCCTTTTAAATATTCACAATGTGATGCAGGCAAACAATCCAAAATGTAGTGTAAAATACCAAATGAGGATTGTTCTCCAAACTTAAACCCCCGGTAACAAACTCACTGGAATGCAATGACCCCTTATGTAAAAACAAAAAGGTCTAATAAGACTGATAGGATGTACCCAGATATTCTATTATACAGGATTTATTATTATACAGGATTTATACAGTATAGCGCCAACAGTTTGCACAGCGCTTTAAATATAGGGAATACATTATAATTACAATACAATTCAAGACAAGATGGTAAGGAGGGCCCTGCCTGTGAGGGCTTACAATCTAAACGGGAGGGGCAAGTGAAACATGAGGAGGTAGCTGTGTGGGGATGAATTGTTTGAGAACACGATGGTTCAGTGGGTAGGTTGAGGAGGGATAGGCAGATATACACTGGTAATCAATGATATTCGTATCCCCATTATTACTTACATTGGATAACCATGATGAAAGGCAGAGAAAAGAAGAAGAGATCCTCATAGCGTAAAAACTAAGGATTTAGGCCTGGTTCACACCTGTACGTTTTGTAGCGCGTTCAACGCTCTACGAACGCTCTACAAAACGCTCAAACATGAAAATCCCATTGTTTTCTATGGGTATGGTTCACACCTTGCCGTATTTCAGCCCGTCTGAACGCGCTACAAAACGGCCTACGCCTGAAAAGGTACATGAGCTTTTTTGTGGCGTTTTTGTTGCGTGTTTCCATTGGGATACAGCCAAGTAGCCCTCGGAAACGCGAGTTTGTCACGCGGTTTTTTACCGCGAATCGCGGTAAAAACGCGTGTCACGAAACGTGCATATATGATACGCCTAGGTATGAACAGAGTGTTATTAAAACAACATATAAAAAATGACAGCAAATGCACTCACAAAAAAAGTGCTTAGCCCAGTACTCAGGAATTAACCGCTCAGACACCTTTGGGACGTTGCACCAAATGCAAATTCTGCTTCATAGTATTTCTTTTCTGTGAAATCACCACTAAATGCAGAATCTGGTAACTGCAGATTACCATTTATTTTATTGTGAGGCCATACATCTTGAAAGGAACATTCACTTTATTCAAGCCTTGGTGGAGGGGGATTGTGTGAACCCCGGAAACACATTGGCTGTTTCAATGTACTGACCTTTTCAAATAAACGATTGTTTTGGGATTAAATTGTGGCGGCATCCCCATCTGTCCTCTTTCCATTTGTACCATTGACAACTGTCCATTGTGTGGACCCTGTGGCTGCTGAAATTTGCTACCACACGAAACGCCGGCAATATATTTTTTAGAACAAAATGTGATCTCACATGGTCTATAAAGTAATTAATCTTGCTCTATTGCGCCTTCCTCTGAATTTTACTAAAATACTTATCACTACACTATGTACTTACATATCCCTAATGTTAAAAAGCTGATTTACTGATTCACTTTGATTTATACCGCAGGATCCCGGAATAGTGATGGCGTGTTAAATCACTCCACAAGAAGAGTTCGTGTTGGCAAGAGAATTATCAGTCCTGCAGTGAGGAAAAAAGATGGTATAATAATCACTTCTGTGTTGTCACTGTTTACTATAAATATCCTTATACCGCTGTCTATTAGCATTCGTTTCCTGTGTGTGCCTTGTAAATGGACATTATTTCCCAGTTCATCCTAACATCTAATATAAATTTCAGAGTTTCAGGAGTGGACAACTTGGTTCAACATTGACCACCCAGGTGGCAATGGAGACTATGAACGTCTTGATGCTATCAGATTTTACTACCCAAGCCGAGTTTGCCAAAAGCCCCTCCGCATGGAGGCACGGACCACAGAGTGGGTTCCAGCAGGCAAGACAGGAGAAGTGGTACACTACAGTCTGGCAAAGGGCTTCTGGTGCATCAATAAGGAGCAACCAGAGGGCAAAAATTGCTCTAACTATTCCGTTCGTTTCCTGTGCCCAGTGGGTGAGTCCGCCTCTGTTATTTCACTTATTTACAAAGTGCAGAATGGTTAGTTCTTAAGGTACACATTTGTGCACCTTCCCGGTCACACAGAAAACCTTTAGCAAAAAAGTAGTTTGCTTATCATTTCTACATACTGCATATTAAAGCTACACTCCAGGAGATAGAAAAATTCAGATATGCTTTTATTTAAAAAAAAAAAAATGATTAATACATCATTATTTTGTTTAGAACTAACATAAGCACCTAAATCCGTCTTGGCATCAGCCTCCTGTGATCACCTGTACAGCAGCACTCTGACTGGGAGAGGCAGTGGCAGTATTCTGAGCCAGTTAGGTTTCTACTGCTTTGCACAGTGCTCTAATACTGAACATGCTGAAAGTGTTGTTTGCAGCCAAACTGGGATGACACCTACTTTAGATTTGTTACATTTCCCAATCAAATAGCATAAAAAATTAAAAGTCGCACCTTTCCTTTTTTAGATGCTCTTTCTGCTAATTCCAGGACTGAAAATTCCTGCTTAGTTCTCACTGTTCTGTGGAGTTTTGTTTTAAATAAGTAACCCTGTCTGTACTGTGCTGGCAGACTTCATTAACACGCATAAACTAGAAGAGCAGGGCTGCCTGTCCTAACAAAGGGTTAAAGCCCTGAAGACATTTTGGGGAATGTATCAAAACCAAAGCAGACAGAATTAGGAGCAGTTGCCCATGGCAACCAATAAGCTTCTTTCTTCAGTTTGTCCAGTTAAGGTTTGAAAATAAAAGAGAGAAGCTGATTGGTTGCTATGGGCAGCTGCTCCATACTGTGTCTGCTCCAGTTTTGATAAATTCCCCTCATTGCATGTTAATGACGAGACGCTCAGTCTGTCCTAAGCCTTTCTATTAGGACAGTCAGTGTTTGCTATTTCTGAAACTGAGACAGGAGGATGCAAAGACCTGTTAAATAGAGACATCTAAAAGGTAAGAAATATATATTTTTAAATTATTGATAGATATGCTGTGTGACTAAGAACACATAACAGACATAAAGTGGGGCTTTTCTAAATTTTGACTGCAAAAGTGGAAATACACTTTAAAGCACCAGAGAGCACAAGGATGGCCTCATCAGTGCGCACGAGGGTGGCCTCATCAGTGCGCACGAGGGTGGCCTCATCAGTGCGCACGAGGATGGCCTCATCAGTGGGCACGAGGATGGCCTCATCAGTGCGCACGAGGATGGCCTCATCAGTGCGCACGAGGATGGCCTCATCAGTGCGCACGAGGATGGCCTCATCAGTGCGCACGAGGATGACCTCATCAGTGTGCATGAGGATGACCTTATCAGTGTGCAGCACTTTTTTCAATGTTCAGCCCCCAGCTGTGATGGGTCCTGGACCAATCGCTTTTGCTCAACTGCACAGTGCTCTGCGGGGAGCATCAGGACATGTTTGCACTGTATGGTTATGGTTTACTGGATCAGAATACTGTCTGAACAGAATTTTAAATCATGCAGCAGGTTAAACAATTTACACATATGTATTTTGGCTGTATGCCTGGAGTTTAGCTTTAAATAAAAAACCTGGGGTTTCCGCTTTTATTTGAACTTAATATATATTATTGATACACAAGCAATGTTTTATGCAATGTTAATAATTATTAGCTTTCAACTTCACTTTGCAACCAGCTATGAATTTCCAAAGAAACGTCAAATATTATTTCCTTGTAACCACTGAAACTTGAGGCATTGTGTACTTGGTATGTGTACAGAAAGCCCCCAAAGGTGTAATTTCCTGCTCACGTCTTTGTCTCGCTGCTTTGCTTTTATTTCAACACTGAGACTTATTATGTGACCATAACAGGCAGACATCCCCCCAGTTAGCACGTGGGAAGTAAATGGAATGCAAGTGTGAATTTGTTACCTATCAGCGGGAGATGAATTGAAGATTTGTTTAAACAAATGTGTAATTATTATTTAATACAGTTTTAGCTTTAAAATACATGTACTTAATAATAAATCTGCAGAGCAGAGATTTATGATGGTATGAAAACCGAAGGTGAACATGTAGGCAGTTATAAAATGGAGCCATGTAAGCCAGTTAGGAATGTCCAGAAAGACGTTTTAAATAATATCTCAGCATTCATACCGGGAGTGCATTGAATTAAACAAATCTAATAAATGGAGCTTGCTGATTGGCAGGCAGAGCAGAGTTATAACTTTTCCAGTGAGCTGCTTCTTCACTATTCAGTCACAGATTTAACAAGCTGTATTTGTTTTATTGAGTGAAGAAGAATAAATGCTATGGTGTCTGGCAGGGCTGTCTGGATTTAAAAAGATGGCTGAGCAAAATTACACATTTTCTGGTACATAAAACAGTTCACAAATACGTATTACCAAAGTGTATTTAATTGTATGCCTATGGTTATGTGTCAGAGGCCAAGAAAGAAAATCAATAAAAGTCAAATAAAACAAAATAATGGGCTTAAAAACTGTGTCCACCTAAAATATTAGAACGCACGGAATTTAAAGCAAAAGAAAACTTTTTCCTTGTACCCAATTGGATGATTTAGGTGAACACAGGTTCCCGTTACTTCACTCGGGGTCAAAGTATAAAAAGTTCTACCCCATTATTCCTCAATATACACAACTTTCTTGTTTCTTAAACAAGTTGTTTGTATGACATGTTCTTAACAGATTATATATATATATATATATGTATATACAGTATATACACATATATTTTTTTTTTCCTGAATATAATCACCAACATTCAATTGTAAGAACAAATTTGATATCTGACATACATTTGTATTACGTGGGGGTCATATCTGTCCCCTTAACAGCATAATAGGTTGTTATGTGACCCATCGGCAACAGGGGTTGGTGTGTGGAGGAGCTCTGTCCAATTTTGCTTTCTCTTACTTGACATGCACTACTGACTGGACATATAGTTAGTACTGAATGCATGTACATGTGATACATATTATAGGCCACCAACTCGTCTCTTTAATTTATACAAGTTCCATAGTTAGTTTGATGCCATGGGCACTCGTAGTGCACCATATAACTTTTGCAATTCATTAATAATCCATTAAAAAGACAACGCTGCAGAACTTTCTCCATTACACACTGTAGAGGTTTTTCTCAAACCATGGTCTGCAGGCCACCATTGGTCCATGGGCTTGTGCCAGGTGGTCCACAGCCAGCTTCCTGTGTTCTGTTATAGGATGTGCTGTCCTAGTGACAGTGGGCAGGTTTGCCACATCACATTCCCCTGAGCCTACTAGGAAAGAATGGCACTATACTACGGTGTTGCTAATGGTGTTATTAATGACAGTGGAGTATTAAAGACATCACTCTATTATCAAGGTAGAACCAAGCATGGACGCTGTCTGTTCAGCAATAGGGCTCCAAACACCAGAGACATTAGGAGAGAGGTTAGGGAGCCGTTATGACAAATGTGTGCTGATGCAGCTTGGACAAAGTAATTGACATAGGACCCTATACAAAAAAATAAATAAAGCAAAAGAGTGGTAAAGAAGAAGACAAAGGAAAACACTGGTGAGAAGCAGTAAAGAATATATAATTTGTTGTCACCCTGTCACATGTGCCCTGATTCAGAGTACAAATGGATGTTCAAGAATGCACTGCACAGTGAAAGTTCCACCACTGTCACTATTAATAAACTGGTCCAGAGCAATGATGTGCATCTGATGCTGGAGCAAGTAAATGTAGGAAGAAATTGGCTGAAAATGTTTGCCTAAATCAGCAGAACTGATTTCAAAAATTGATGAAAACTGTTTTATGGATAAAAAAGGCTTATTTTTCAAAGTGCTTTACCAAAGTAAATATCAGTTTACCAAAGTAAATGTCTAGTTAAGGTTCAGATCTCCCTTAAGGTCCACGAGTCTCATATTTCATAATGCCATATATTATGGCTGGTTTACTAAAGAAGTTGAGAATCTTCACAAAATAATTTTGTGAATATTTACTTCAATTATCCAATCATATGCAAAGCAAAATATTGTTTACTTATTTCTTTGCATATGATTGGATAATTTAAATGTATTTAATGTATAATTAATTGCGTGATGATTCTCAACTCCTTTAATATGTATCAGTGATTCTCTTTATGGAGAGGCTAGGATGAACCAGTTGCCATTTCGTGTCAACATGTTGCATCAATGAACACCTTTTAATAATAAACATCAAAAAAGTACAGTACTCCTTTTCATTATATTATGTTCTGTAGACCCCGGACTATTTGAGGAATTTGTAGACCATTTGTTTAACAATTGTTGCTGATCAGTGAGCATCACTAGCTACTTCCATGTTATAATTTCTGTTATTTCAATTTCTCTGGATTGTAGGTACAGGCATATTGGATCTTACATCTCTTTAACAATAAATTAATTTGTTTCAGTTTTAACAACCTCTCTTCCAAAAGAAGCTTGGTCAGAATGGTCAGCATGGAGTGAGTGCTCAGCCAAATGTGGCAGCACAGGCATGCAGACCCGGAGGAGGACATGCCTAGCAGAGGACCAGTGGCAAGAGCACTGTAATGGTCCCACAGAGGAGGGACGCAGGTGTACTGGACAACCATGTATAGGTAATAGGAAGTCAGAACACAAGATTTTACATCTGTGGTTGCTAAAGAACTTACTGAATAATGACAATTTTTATAAAATGCTAAACTCTGCAAATATTAAACCTCCTTTCCATTAGCAAGGATTTTGTTGCACCCTGTGACATAATAGAGAATATTTTTAAAGAGGACGATGCAGGGAAAGTATGTTCAAAAGCTGATCTCTCCTTATTTAAGTGACAGGTTGTACAGGCAACTGTACTAATGTATAATTCTTATTCTCTTTCACTGAACAGAATGCAATATGAGCTGTCCTGTGGGTAAAGTAAGTGCAGACTGCAGTGTCTGTGAATGCAAAAACCAAGTATTGTATGGTACAGTAGCACTTCCAGATGGAGCTCCTGCTGCTGGTGCAAATGTCTACATCATGTCTAAAAAACCCAAACTGAAAGCTGTATCAGATTCTCAGGGGAAGTTCCGAGTGGTGGGATTGTGTCCTGACAGCACACTGCAGCTGAAAATGGAAAAATATTCTTTGGTCAATGTAAAAATACCCAAGAGAAACAACACATCCTCTTCTATCACCATCACATTGAAGAGGAAAGGTAAGACTGGTCATCCTGTCAATATACTGGGTATGAACCTGAGTGGTGGCTAAAGGGGCAATAGTTTTTATTCCTTACATTTTGATAAATAGGAAATAATGGCAGATCATAGGAGGAGCTCTGATATTTTTCCATGCTGCATGCTAATTGCCCAGGAATATGCTTTGTGAAATACTCTGTTAAGCAGTCCATGCAGCAATAGTAACATTGCCATCTCTGAGCCCATTTTACATTACAGAACAGCTTTAAAAACAATGTTCTGTTTTTATGACTTTCAGGCCAAGTAACCATATCTTCTGCTTCATGATCTGCCGCAGTTAGTACTAACAACTGATCAGAGTGCAACATCTGCCTGATCTTTTGCAACAAGTATAATCATCACGAAGTGTACATTTTCAGCACATCACGAGTATATTCCATGAGCAGTCAAGAAGGAGTTACACGAGTATAAAAATGAGAAATGATTTTCCGAACTACAAGCTTGCTAAAACTGCCTAACTGTCTCTAATTAGAACAGGGGTTCTTAAACTTTCCTCTAGATTTGTGAGGGGGAGCAGACTGTGACCAGTGGGAGTAGAAGATGCTCCAGGATGAGTGGTCAGTGGGAGTCAATATGGCTAATGGTTTGTGGTCAGTTGTAGTAAAAAATGGCCTAGCTTCTGTGGTGAGTGGGAGGAGGAATATGGCCTCATCCTTGGCATCATTGGAAGGGATAATGTCCCATCACTGATATTAGTGGGAGGAATAGTACCACATTGTTGATGTTAGTTGGAGGAATGGTACACATTGTTGATGTTAGTGGGAAGAATAGTTCCCCATTGTTGGTGTCAATTGGAGTAATAATGACCCATTGTTGATGACAGTGGGAAGAATATTGACTTGTAGTTAGTGTTGGAGTAATAGTGCCCTATCATTTTTGTCAGTATGAAGAATATTGACCCATTGTTAGTGTTAGTGATAGTAATTGTGTCCCATCCTTGGTGTCAGTGGGAGTAATCATGCCCCATCCTTGGTGTCAGTGGGAGGAATCATGCCCCATCCTTGGTGTCAGTGGGAGGAATCATGCCATATTGTTTGTGTCAGAGATAGGAATTGTGTAACAAGGGCCGGTTAATGGTAATAGGAAGTCAGAACACAAGATTTTACATCTGTGGTTGCTAAAGAACTTACTGAATAATGACAATTTTTATAAAATGCTAAACTCTGCAAATATTAAACCTCCTTTCCATTAGCAAGGATTTTGTTGCACCCTGTGACATAATAGAGAATATTTTTAAAGAGGACGATGCAGGGAAAGTATGTTCAAAAGCTGATCTCTCCTTATTTAAGTGACAGGTTGTACAGGCAACTGTACTAATGTATAATTCTTATTCTCTTTCACTGAACAGAATGCAATATGAGCTGTCCTGTGGGTAAAGTAAGTGCAGACTGCAGTGTCTGTGAATGCAAAAACCAAGTATTGTATGGTACAGTAGCACTTCCAGATGGAGCTCCTGCTGCTGGTGCAAATGTCTACATCATGTCTAAAAAACCCAAACTGAAAGCTGTATCAGATTCTCAGGGGAAGTTCCGAGTGGTGGGATTGTGTCCTGACAGCACACTGCAGCTGAAAATGGAAAAATATTCTTTGGTCAATGTAAAAATACCCAAGAGAAACAACACATCCTCTTCTATCACCATCACATTGAAGAGGAAAGGTAAGACTGGTCATCCTGTCAATATACTGGGTATGAACCTGAGTGGTGGCTAAAGGGGCAATAGTTTTTATTCCTTACATTTTGATAAATAGGAAATAATGGCAGATCATAGGAGGAGCTCTGATATTTTTCCATGCTGCATGCTAATTGCCCAGGAATATGCTTTGTGAAATACTCTGTTAAGCAGTCCATGCAGCAATAGTAACATTGCCATCTCTGAGCCCATTTTACATTACAGAACAGCTTTAAAAACAATGTTCTGTTTTTATGACTTTCAGGCCAAGTAACCATATCTTCTGCTTCATGATCTGCCGCAGTTAGTACTAACAACTGATCAGAGTGCAACATCTGCCTGATCTTTTGCAACAAGTATAATCATCACGAAGTGTACATTTTCAGCACATCACGAGTATATTCCATGAGCAGTCAAGAAGGAGTTACACGAGTATAAAAATGAGAAATGATTTTCCGAACTACAAGCTTGCTAAAACTGCCTAACTGTCTCTAATTAGAACAGGGGTTCTTAAACTTTCCTCTAGATTTGTGAGGGGGAGCAGACTGTGACCAGTGGGAGTAGAAGATGCTCCAGGATGAGTGGTCAGTGGGAGTCAATATGGCTAATGGTTTGTGGTCAGTTGTAGTAAAAAATGGCCTAGCTTCTGTGGTGAGTGGGAGGAGGAATATGGCCTCATCCTTGGCATCATTGGAAGGGATAATGTCCCATCACTGATATTAGTGGGAGGAATAGTACCACATTGTTGATGTTAGTTGGAGGAATGGTACACATTGTTGATGTTAGTGGGAAGAATAGTTCCCCATTGTTGGTGTCAATTGGAGTAATAATGACCCATTGTTGATGACAGTGGGAAGAATATTGACTTGTAGTTAGTGTTGGAGTAATAGTGCCCTATCATTTTTGTCAGTATGAAGAATATTGACCCATTGTTAGTGTTAGTGATAGTAATTGTGTCCCATCCTTGGTGTCAGTGGGAGTAATCATGCCCCATCCTTGGTGTCAGTGGGAGGAATCATGCCCCATCCTTGGTGTCAGTGGGAGGAATCATGCCCCATCCTTGGTGTCAGTGGGAGGAATCATGCCCCATCCTTGGTGTCAGTGGGAGGAATCATGCCATATTGTTTGTGTCAGAGATAGGAATTGTGTAACAAGGGCCGGTTAAAGTCAGTTAACAACTGCGGGCTGCAGTTTGGTGACCACTGAACTTAGAACTTTGGCTAGAGCCAAGTAAAAACAGCAAGAGGAAGGGCAGGTCACTACTGTGACTCATTCATGTGTGTTTACATTTCAGCTCAAGCTACTGAACTCTGTAATCAATTGGCATCTTTTAGCAAATATGGCATTGATAGGCAGGCAACTATAGCTTAACCTGCCGATTACATACAAAAAATAAAAAATATTCATATGTACAGTAACTGACTAAATAAAAATACTCTAATACTATTTATTTAATTTTTGTAGCCCGGACCAATATATATTCAGTATACATACATATATGCAAAGCTTATATACATTCATAAATTTTTTTCCTCTCCTAGAAAAGCCTTATATAGTGGAGAACCCTGAGTCCAAGGTCAGAAGAGTGGGTCAAAGTGTGACATTCTGCTGCAATGCTGTAGGTGAACCAATCATAGAGCAATACCTGTGGTGAGTAATGGGGATATGCTACACTTGCCTGATGTACAGTAGCATAATCATTTCCTAACTGTTGACTTAGATTGTATCCCAGACATCTAAATCTGTTCCTTCCATTACTAAGTCACAGTGTATATATCCCAAAATTTTCCTAGAGTACATTTAATAGTAAATATTTTCTGATTTTCATCAAACAGACCCTAAACCCTGTAAGTATTGGTTCTTGTGGCTTGTGAGACTTTGAACACACGCCTATACAAATGTAATACATGTAGGCTGCCCACGGATAAGGTTTTGAAACACTAGATCGTATAAGTGTCCTACAATAACTGCTAAAGTAATTAAAGGAGAACTATGAGCTGAGTGAATGAAACTGTCACACGTCGGCTCAATAGATCGGGAAGTGAGCGAACACATACCGTCGCTCGCTCACTTCTCCATATCCCTGCAGACAGCCGTGACTGTCAGTCACAGCTCCCTGCAGGGATTACCCCCCTTCCCGCTCCTCCAGTGCTGGCTCTGCCTGGCTCTGCCTCTAGATAGGCAGAGCCAGCTGTCACTCACGCAGCTGGGTGGATCTCGACAGCATTGTCGGGATCCGTCCCGGCTGCGGCGGTCTCAGTATACCGTGAGCTGTAGACCATAGTTCTCTTTTAATGTTATTCCGTTAGCAAGGCACATTGGTGCCCACCTGGAGGCATAAAGGGCTGCAGCTAGGAATGTATGTTACTGACGACAATTTATGTTTGTTCCACAACTCTAACCTTTCTTCTTTTTACAGGTACCATAATGATACTTTGCTAGATCATAGCATTTATAAATTCAGTAACCAGCTTGTTCTGAGGAAGCTGCAAACGAGCCAGGCTGGAGAGTACTACTGCAAGGCCAAAAATGATGCCGGATTTGTGAAATCCAGTCCTGCTAAGCTCAAGCTCATTGGTGAGATGAAACAAAGAATGAAAGCCAGTCAGACCATGTATACTAATTCTATAATGGTTTGGGGTCATTTTACATACTAATACATTTTAAATTATTTTATATAGACATTTAATACAGAATGCACAGTGACATGGGATTTACAGCGCATTATGGTTTTGCAAAAGCGAGAGCACGGCAAAAGCTCTTTCTCTTTGCTTAAAGTTTAATATAAAATAGATGAATTACTGTTTTAAATAATTTGGTTGTGTGTGTAAATTTCAGCTTGAGCTTTTGTGTGCTGAAGACTACAGGCTTAGGATAGACAGGTAAACATGTGAAAAAGAGCTCAGAGTGCCATCTGCTGGCTGGTATGAAAATACAAAATAATAATATGCAATACTGTGTATTAATGTGATTTAAATGTTTTACAAATTACTAATTTTTAAATAATGTAAAGATTAGTCTTGACCATAATACATAAATAAATAAAATATATCTAAAAACCTGTCTGTATTCACTTTAAATTAGAGTAAAGGAGATGTTGGAAATATCAGTCAGAATTTGTCAACTGTTTTTTTAACTGCAGACATTTAAATCTAGAATTGGTTACATGGGCAACCTATGTTGAGATTGATAATTCATTAATATCTGACTATGAAATATCAATCTTCATGCAGTTTATGTATTCTAGACTCATAGAGAAAGAAATCACTAACAAGTATTTATATTTCCTCTATAGATTAAGCAATCAATATAAACCTGTCATTTTAGAAAAAAACATTGATTTTCTTCACATAAGCAAACCTGTACTGAGGCTGGGAGGAGAAAGTCCAAAATCTTGATAAATGTCAAAAAAACATGTGCATGTTTTTTTATGTTGAAATTGGCTTCAGTCCATTTAAAAGTAAATGTCACAATTACTATTTATTTTAGTGTAGTATAACATCCCCAAAGTGGCCATTCTTCGTTTTCATGTCCAATATTTCTGAATGGTTACTCCATGTTTTTTGTAATGAGGAATAAGCAGAGAGATTTTGGCGAAATTGATTTGACCAGAAAATTACTGTTTTTGACTTCTATGGAATTTCAGGAAAGCAGAAGCTCTTGATTGAGCTGTTTAGGTGATATTTGCTTGAAAAAAAACTTTTTTTCTTTATTTAAGTGGTTAAGGGTGAGGACACATATTTTGGGAAGCAGCAATGTAGGAGGGGGTCGTATATACTACATTATGACTGACTAGATGATAGTATAATAATACAACATTATAATATTTTAAGGTGTTTATATTGATTCTTAATTTTATATTTTCAGCTAATGAAAAACTTGCCTGCAGTCCCAAACCAGAGAAAAATCTCATTAGGCTTCCGCATGACTGTTTTCAAAACAGCACCAATTCTTTTTACTACGACGTGGGAAAATGCCCCTCTACTTCCTGTCCTGGAGATCTGGAGAATGGACTGCGATGTAAAGATGCAGTGCCCTACTGCTGTGGAATAACTAAGACACAAGTTAAAGAGATCTCATGCCAGGACTATGTTCTTCCAGTTAAAGTGGCTGTTGAGTGTGGTTGTCTCAAGTGCACAGAGACCAAAATAATTGTCCGTGGAAGAGCTATTGCTGCTGATACAGGAGAGCCCTTGAGATTTGGACATATATACATGGGAAATGCAAGAATCAGCATGACAGGGTACAAGGGCACTTTCTCCATCCAAGTTCCTGCAGACAAGGAGAGACTGGTTCTTACTTTTGTTGATCGACTACAGAAATTTGTTAACACCACAAAGGTTCTTCCATTTAATAAAAAAGGGGGTGCTGTGTTTCATGAAGTTCATCTTCTTAGGCGAAAAGAGCCAGTAATATTGGACTCTATGGATACAAACCAGATATCACTCGGAGACATGGAAAACAGTGATCCCATGGCTGAACTGGAAATTCCTCCAAACTCTTTCTATCGACAGAATGGAGAACCGTACAATGGAAAGGTTAAAGCCAGTGTCACATTTTTGGATCCACGAAATATAACAACTGCTCCTGCTGCACAGAGTGACTTAAACTTTGTAAATGAGGAAGGAGATACCATGCCACTAAGATCTTATGGAATGTTCTCTGTTGACTTTACTGATGAGAAAGGTATAGAATCTTTAAATGCTGGAGCAGTTAAGGTCTACCTTGACTCCAATCAGGTCAAAATGTCAGAACACCTTCAGAAAATGAAGTTATGGTCTCTAAACCCAGAAACTGGGCTTTGGGAGGAAGAAGGAGACTTTGTGCAAGCAGCAGTTCGACGGGGTAAAAGAGAGGAGAGAACTTTCCTTGTTGGTAACATGGAAATAAGGGAAAGAAGACTGTTTAATCTTGATGTTCCTGAAAGCAGAAGATGTTATGTCAAAGTTCGTGCATACCGGAGTGAAAGGTTTCTACCAAGTGAACAAATAGAAGGTGTAGTGATGAACTTAATAAATATGGAACCTACATCAGGATTTTCTTCCAATCCTCGTGCTTGGGGTCGCTTTGACAGTGCCATAACTAGCTCAAATGGAGCCTGTTTGCCTGCATTTTGTGATGACCAAAGCCCAGATGCATACTCTGCATTTGTAACAGCCACTCTGGGTGGAGAAGAGCTAGAAGCAGTAGCGTCTTCTCCCAAGTTTAATCCAAATATTATTGGTGTTCCTCAACCGTATCTGAATAAACTGAACTACAGAAGAACTGATCATGATGATACCAAGGTCAAGAAAACAGCTTTTAGCATCAATGTAGCTAAGCCAAGTCCCAATGTTGCTGAAGAGAGCAACGGTCCTGTTTATGCTTATGAAAAACTTCAAGAGTGCGAAGAGGCACCCTACAGTGCTGCACATTTCAGATTTTACAGAGTGGAAGGTGACAGATATGACTTTAATGCTGTGTCTTTTAATGAAGATGACCCAATGAGCTGGACTGCAGACTATTTAGCTTGGTGGCCAAAGCCAATGGAGTATAGAGCCTGTTTCATGAAAGTTAAGATTGTTGGTCCTCAAGAGATTATTGTAAGATCTAGAAACATGGGTGGCACACATCCTCAGACAGTTGGACAGCTCTATGGAATTAGAGATGTGCGTAGTACCAGAGATATGGAGGAATCTAACCTCTCTGCAGCATGCATTGAATTCAAATGTAGCGGTATGTTGTATGATCAAGATCGAGTTGACCGTACACTGGTAAAGATTGTCCCACAAGGAAGTTGTCGAAGAGAAGTCATAAACACCATGCTGCATGAATACCTTGTCAACCACCTGCCAATGGCTGTCAACAATGACACCAATGAGTATACCATGTTAGGTCCTCTTGACCCTCTTGGGCACAATTATGGCATCTACACAGTAACTGATCAGGATCCAAGAACTGCTAAAGAGATTGCCCTTGGCAGATGCTTTGATGGCACCTCTGATGGTACATCAAGGGTCATGAAGAGTAATGTCGGAGTAGCTCTTACTTTTAACTGCTTGGACAGAGATGTTGGCCAGCCAAGTGTATTCCGCAGTGGGAATGGACTGGCTGCTGCAAGCTCCGCCAGACAGGGTGGCAGAAATGGAAGACAACAAAGAGAAAGCAGCGGACCTAGGTTAACAAGTAGACTACAGTCTCTCTTAGCTACCAGACAGCGCAGCAATACTCAGTAGATAATTAACGAATGTCAGGTCAGTTTTTAGCATATCATTTACCTTCATTGGTATGTTAAAAAATGTCTGCTAATTGCCATGGCTAACAAGTGAGGAGTCAGTTTTAAAATCACTGGCTGAGCTGGTTTGGGAAGAGTTACAAATGACTAAACTGAATATATACACGTATCCATACCTGTACTCAAGGCTTTCTCGATTAGTCGCCCACGAACCACAGGAATGAACAGAACTGATGTGAAAGAAAATAAAATAATCACCTGTCACTGCTGTACTTCCTTACAACCTTACAGCAGTCAGGGGAGAATTTAAAAAGAGACTTTTATTTTCTTGATTGAGTGAAATTACTAATGGCACACAGACTCTTTACCTCTTTACACTAGTATTTAATCTGAAAAGACCTGAATTATAGTATGCGTCTGTTGGAATGTCTTCCTTCCTTCCGTCATCCTGTAGTTTGTACTATTCAGCAATGCACTTCCCTCCTCTGCCGCCTCCTCCAGAATACTGGCTGATAAATGTAGCATTTATTTTTCATTGTTCATATATACATACATCAAAATATCCTTCTTTGTACAATACCAAATAGAATGCTGCAGAGGTACATTAGGAGAGGGACTCAAGTGGTCTATAAATTCCAGTTTATAAGAGAGAACAGCTATTGTGGCATGATGCAGTGTAGCATTTGGGGTATTATGCTATAAAAAGCAATTATGCCATTAGACTGCATTAATGCAAAATTCCAGTTCAACTATATACATTTCTGTAAAATGAAAATGTTATCCTTTGCTAAGCGAAATTAAAGGACTGTCATTGCTGCTATTTGCCTGGCTGTTATGCTGGCTGACTGTTTAGAGCAGCATGACAGCCAGGCAACTAGCATATGCCAAAACATGTCCCATGTGGCATCCTTCGGGTTTCTCTCAGTGCAGTTTTCCTTTAGGTTTTCCTGTATGTGCTCATTTTTGCACTGCACATGTGAGTAAAATCCATTTACCATTTTGTGATGGAAGACCACAGTACTGAATCTTATAGTATATATTTAGCAGATAAGAGCTGAAGGAAGTAAATCATGCAAGCAGAAAAAGGGTCACTGTAGAATGTGCTCTGATTTGGGGTGCCTTAAATTACTGAATCTTAAATAAGTGTTGGGTTTATTTACAAATAGGGATATAAAAAACATTATAATTACAATTAAGGGAAAGGGGATTTGGAGGGGGTCAGGAGGGATAGGAATTGAGGTTAGGATCCTTCAGCTAGATACCACATACTCTCTCTCTGTCACACATGCCATGGGTTTTTCTCTATGCTCAGAACACTCCTCTCCAGCAGGCCTTAACGAATCACATTCTTCTTGATTGTAGAGTCCAGAAATACTTGTCTTGTCCAAGAGGTCACCAAGGTTACCATTGTTCCTGCTTGTGACCTAGGTTAGTGCAGGTGATCACACAGGAAGAAGGTTCCATCATATGCCCCTGCCCCCATCTCAGCATGTATGCTTCCTTGCTGACACAGGTGTGGGCAGTACATACCAGCAGGGGGTCGGGCTTGCCCCAGGAGATGACAGTCTGGCAGATCTTCATTCATCAGTGCCCAGCCCCAAGAACCATTTGATGGTCCTCATTTGGGTATCACACAGCCACGTTCAGGTACAGCTTTGATTCAAAGGTGATCCAGGATATCAAGGAACACTTTTGAATCAAAGCTGTATCATAGATGTCAATGTTATCGGTTCCAACAGTCACTAGCTTCTCTCTCTTATAATACCTGTAATTAAGATATCCGTGTTTACAGTGGCATGCTCATATACTTAACAAATTGGGGATTGCTCTAAAGTGTATGTGTAGGCAAAAACCTAAAAAAAAAACATGTAGTAAACCTTTCCAATACATGCACATTTCTTCATGTGACTTGATGTTCCTGCTAGAAATGCTTTTAGCTCCTTATTTTATGTAGTAAGCTGACAACACTTATGGAGCAGCCCTGAATTCCCAAGCAATGTTGTTAGCTCTGCCTGAGTTCTTCTCTGCTGAAAAACATCAGCACATCGCCCTCTCCTCCTTTCCTGAATTTTCAGCACTCACCCTTCTCCTATACTCATTGTCTGTTTTCAAGCTGAAAAACACTGCTTGTGATCGTTGCAGCAGTGGGCTCACTATAGGCAGTTAGGAGTTAAGAGCTTTTCTGGTGGGATCACCAGGTATTTTTTAGTACTTGTCCACATATACAATTTAAGCTGGACAAAAATAAAATAGGTCTTATCCCAAATTGGATGCAAAAGTGGAAATACACTTTAAGCTGGACATAAATGGGAACATCATACTACTCAACCAATAGTCTAAAGGACATGCTCTCAATAGGTTTGGTCAGACATGGCCACAGAAAAAAAAAACCCTCAACATACTAACAGATTCCTTTACTGCACAATTACATGTTCCATTTCAGCCATCTAATAGTCATTTCTGGCACAGTCAGTAGGTTCCTCATATGCAGGAATCACTGGCACATTAGGTCCAATCTAACACCATTATCCAGCTGCGTACGGTCAACTTAAGTGTCCTAAATTTTCACATGCAAATGTATTTAATCATTCTAAACAAAGAGTGTTGGTTTCCAGAAACCCATTCAATACTTATTTGCATGCTTGATTTCTGGTTGGTTTCCCAGGTTACTGCACACCACTGCATTATGTAATTAAAGAAGAACTCCGGGAATTTAAAAAAGTACCATTGCAGTGATGCTAAACCTGCACCTCAAGGGTTAAGTGCTTGTTTTGTTTAGAGGGGTCAAATAAGGCATGTACACCCATCTGAGCCTCGGCCCCACACCTCTCCCCACCACTGCTGTGGCATGTCCCGCTGTGTCCTTGCATCTCATGCAAGTCAATGGCCCTGCATAAGATGTGATTATGTCAGTGGTCCTTAGACAGTCGGAGCCCAGGGAAGAAGATGTTGTGAGGATTGGTCTAGCAGCCTGGCGGGACCAAAGATCAGGTAAGTATATGTGCTTTATATGACCCCTCTAGATAAAGGGAGCACTCAACACTTGCAGTGCAGGGGTAGCCTGCACTGAAAGTAAATTCCTGGAGTTCCTCTTTAGGCAAAACCAGATGGGATCCATTTAAATGTAGTTTTGCTTGTCCATGAAGGTTATAGTTCATTAGAAGGCGTACCTCTGTGTTCTGTATTACCGGCATAGTAGAAATATTCTCCTAGGTCACAGAACATACAATTACAATGTCACCTAATTTATTTTGCCCTCCAATGGAATGGAATGTCAATGTGATTTCTGGACTTTCTCTTTTGAAGTACATCAAGTATTTTTCAATAAAAAGATGTTAATAAATTTGATTTCATTGTGAAATAGCACCTAAAATAAGGTGAGCAGAGTTCAGATTGGATGTACAATGTAGAAAAGCAATCACTGGCCCCTGTGCCGGAGATATTATTATGCCGGTGGCTATTTGCCAATGATCTGGAAAAAAAAGAAATATGGTTCCAATAAATGTGAGGACTGAAATGTGTTCTCTCCATCAGTTCAAATTGTGCATTGTGGTTTGACGGCTTCCTCTCCTGAAATGGCTGTTCCTTTGGGGAATATTATTCAAGTAAAATGTTAAACTGCAATACTGTACTTGAAAATGTAAATAACAAAGTATTTATTTCCTACTTTCATTTCATTTTAATTGTGTCTGAATTTTCTTTTCAACGGGTCATATCAGGACAGTGTAATATCCAAAGCTGGTCATATCAGGACAGTGTAATATCCAAAGCTGAACTCCAGGAAACAGCTAAAAACACAGAGGAAATACATACCTGGGAGCCGCTTTAACCGCCAATGGATTTGAAAGTCTATTCATCCAGTTCTAAGATTTACACAGCTCTATCACACAACTCAGCCCTGTCTGGCAGAACAGGAGACCTGATTTTTGGCTGCTGTAGTTAAAGAACGACTTCGGGTAAACATTTTCTTAACCTTTGTGGTGGGGCTACCCCCGAACTGCAAGGGCTAAGTGCTTGTTTTTGCCAAAAATAAAGTTATACTCACCCGAAGCTTAGATCTAGCTGGCTATGACAGTGCTCCCTCCAGCTTGTCTCCACCTCCGCTGCAGTGATTGTATGTCTCCCGGCATCCTCACGTCCTATACACTGCACAGAACACGATGACTCAGGGATCTTAGACCTCTGCAGCAGAGGGGGAGAGAGGATCCATGGGCTGGTCTAACAGCAAGCTGGCTTGGAGGTTCAGGTGAGTATAACCTTGAACATAGACAAAAACAAGCACTTAACCCTTGCAGTGCAGGGGTAGCCCCACTGCAGGGGTTAAGAACATTTTTACCCGGACTCATGCTTTAAGTAACACTTTTGTCCTTTCCCGCCTGTGACTGGACAGTGAAAGAAAAAGCAGCAGAGTGATAAGTTCATGCGTCTGTCACTCTCCTCCTATCAGCATGTTCCTTGTTAGCATATGATCACTGCAGCACAACTGAGCGCCTCCTTGTGCTGCATCTCCATTTCCAAGTCTGACTGCTGTGCCACTACCAAGACATTTTATAATGCTGAAGATAAAATGTACTCTATCAGCACTTGTCACCATAACAAATGTGCCTCTCCCTTGTGGCTGTATTCTTCAGTTACTCATTACACATTATGCAGAATTGTTTGGAGGAGGAGGGTGACAACACCATATGACTTTGAAATGGCCACTGCTGATGGAAATGACCAGGAAAAACATACTATGATTTCATTTACCTGGAGAATTCAAGTTAAGTATAAGATAAAAATGCAAAAGCAAAAGTTACCTACATTGAAAGCCACACGTCAAATCAAACAGAGATATAGGCAGCTGTAGCCAAAACCTTTTCTGGTTTTGAATAGAGTGAAAGGGACTCTATTCAGAGTGATTTTGGTGATTGTGGTGACCCTGCTGACCACCAGGGATTTCCTCTCACTTCCTGTTGTGGCTTACTATCGGACATTACTTATTATTGGTTTGCCTCTTAC